GTAATTAAAATAAATATTCGATCGGAGAGAAAAGGTTAATGGATGAAAATAGGTAAGAAAGGAAAGTAATCCCGTTTCGAGGTCTATTTGCAGAAGAATCTTGCAGTTCCAAGTTCTCTTTGTCCACGAGAGGGATTCTAACAGAGGCGTCGTGGACGTATCGCATGTATCTCCAGGAACCGTCTCGTTCGTTTTTCTGGAGCAAAAATGAAATTCATCCGACAAGCGATGCGTGGAATGTCGCCGTGAGTCAGATGCGAGCGTACACGTTCGCACGCCCGCTAAAATTGGAACTGCTGGCGTCATAAACGTAAAAAGCTACAACGTAAAAATGTGGTTTTATATCGCATTTTTTCGCCGATTGACCCATTCCTCGATTTTGACCGATTCCTTTCTTCTTGATCTCTCGCGATTCAGAAACAGCGTATTCTTGAGCCAGCGATGAAAAAAAGTTCAAAAATCGAACATTTCGAAAATTCATCTTTATTCGAAAAACTTTATTTCGTATTTTTGAGCGAAAATAGTATAGAATTCGTTGCTAAAACGTGTATTGAGATATGAAGCAGACAATGGATCTTATTATTAATACGAAACAATTATAAAATGTATGGAAAACGTGTAATGAAAATACAATATCGAACATGGTGTATGAAAACCGTGGAAAACTCTTTTCTACTATCAATATATTGAAAAAAAAAAAACTCATAATGTAATTGTACGCGTCATTTGTCATAGAATGAGAAATATATACTTTATAAATTTATTACATATATTTTTCGCGTTACGTTGAAAAATAACAGAGGAAACACTAAGTTGGTCCAATTAAAAACGAGAGAATATTGCAAAACCGCTTTCGTTGTTGCGCCACGATTTTGTAGCAAAAATACTTAACGATATTCGACGAAAAAAGGAAACGTTCATAAATTCGATGTGCATAATCGCGATGCAATTGAAGAAAAATGAAAAATCGAGGAGATCGTTAATTAATATGCACGATCGATGATAAAATTAAAATTAAGTTCGTAAATTCGAACGTGTTCTTTTCTATTCTTTTTTGTCGTTTCACGAGAAATGTATTTCCATTAATTAAAGAGGTGAAAATAAATGAAAAGTTTCATACCAGTCGAATGATTAGATTCTTGTATGGCATGGTAATTATGAATTTACTTTAGAATCGGTGCAAAGTCGAATGAGTAACGAGCACAGAGTAATTAATGTGGAATAAAAATGCAGAGCGAACATTCCTTGAGAGCATACATATGGTTCAGTAAATTTTTTTTCTTCATTTTTTTTTTTTTATATTTGTACGTGATCGTCCAGAAAAATTGTATTAATCTTAAAATGACAGAAATGTCATTTTTAAATCATCTGTGTTAATCATATAATCATAATAGAAAATATTTTTAATATTAGAAAAAGTTTTGTCATTAATGGATCTTCAGATATGAAAACAAGATGCATAACACGACACATAAAATAAAAATAAAATTAAGTAAAATATAATTTAAAACTTGAAATATCAAGGTTGATTTTCAAGGCCGTAGATTTCGGGGTCATACAATTCCTTTTCACTTGGGAGGATAGCCAACTTGGAATTACGATCTTGTTCATTCGTCACGAACATTATTACAATCGAAAAGTTCATAAGAAATAATGTTATAACGCTCATAACCTATTGTATACGATGAAGAAAAAAACATAAAAATAATTTCTTAATCTTACTAAAATTAAAAGTATCGTCAGTAAAATTCAAAACAGAAGATACACAGGCTATCAATAAACTATATTTTCTTTCGATTATTTTCGTTATTGGTGATTGGAAAAATGAACAAAAAAACAAACTAAAACAATAATATCAGATTACCATCGTATCCACTAAAATAAAACTATAACCAAATATAACCAAATATAAGCACAATAAAAACAATTTCCTTAAACTTAATCACGACACTTAATCAAAATTAAGAAACTTGCATGTCGGATAGAAGCGTAACGAAACGAAAAATATATACAAAGGAAAGAAGTCCAATGAAACGCAACTAAAACAAGAAATTGGAACTTTATGCTATGTGGAGGGAGAAACAGTGGAACAACGGTGCCCTCTATCGGAGACGCTTCTCATTTAACTTCGCGACAACTGATCAACGTTTCTCGAGGGATTCTCTTGATCAGGATTAGTCTGGACTTTTAGACTGTTGGGGAGGTTGTTCGATCGCGGAAAGAAGCGAGGAAAAGTCGAAAAGGAAAGTAAGAGTCGACGGTGGTATGCATTCGAAGGGTTATTGCGACGGTGCAGGATTAAACCGATCCCATCCTGAATCACGATGGATGGTGGAAAAATAAAAAGGAGCGAGACGGCGCGGAGAAGTGGAGGGAGAGCGTCCTTCGAGTGATTCACCAGGTTTGCGGTTAGGTTACTTCAGTCTATACGCCGGCAGACGAGTACGGACAAGTGGTTCTCATCACTGACGTGAAATCCAGTGATCCTTCTAACGTGGCGAGACTTTACAAACTACTGTATTTCTCTATTTTGACTGATAATGAGTATCTCAACTGAGAACTAGAGATCCTTCACGTGTATACATATAATTACACTTAAAATGAATAACGTAGACTTCATATTTCAATATGCGTTATTTTAAATACACGGATACTTTGTGTTATTTTATATATATTTGAATATTCAATATTTTATATTTAAATTCACATGAAAAAATATACGTGAAAAGTACGCCTATATTAAAAATTATATGAATCGAATATGGATATTTTTAATACATATGTACACTTGTTCTTGCAATATATATTTAAAATCTTGATCTGTGGTCTGGCAACTATGAAGCTTTCCCCGCTGAGCGACTTTTTATAATGTTTATATTTGAATGTGGTTGTTCAATCGAGATATTTATGCATTTATATTCGATGTATGTACACAATAATAAATCTTCGAGTTATGAAAGTTTTATCTTTTATTCATGTTGAAATTTTTGAAAGAGATTTAACAAGTGAAAATTCGAATATAGCATACAGAAAATTTACATAAGGATAATAATTTTTTTCAATTGTAAAAGCTTAAAAAAATTGTAAAAGCAACGATGATAATAGTTCGAGATAAAGATAAATTTTAGAAAGGATTAAATTATTTTAAATTCGAATTATAGATAAGTTATTTAAATATTGAAAAATAATTTGAATTAAATAAAACTATTGAATTTATAAAGATTTTTCATATTGGAAGGAAATTGGAAACAAAATTTTTTTCATATAAAAGTTTTTAATTATAGAGATTTGACAGTAATGAATAGTGATAGTGATATAAGCGATATACATTATTGATTGGACATAGATATGAATATACTCGTGTTATACATATAGGATATAATCCATCTTATTATTATCTATCATAAACGCCAGTATATCGATAACAGTCATTTCTATAAATGTTTTGCTTCTATTCAGTCTTACAGTTTTCTTTGCTCCCTCCAAGTTCCTTCCACATCATTCTTTTTGCAATTCCTTTTCTTTATCTTTTCTATGTCATCCTTATCTCAGCATATATATGTTCTTTCAAATATCAAACATGCAATTGTAAATATTTATGAATAAACTTCAATGAAAGATATAAATATATTTAACTCATAATTTGATATCTCGTCTGTCCAATATACTTATATGTATATACCATAATTAATTAAAGTTAAAAACTTGTTAAGTATTATAAATGAGCTTTTTTTAAATAAAATAATATTTTAAATTTCATTGTTACATTGATGCATATATATCACGAATATTAAAAGCTATTTTATTGTTAATTTGTAAATGAAAAATCGATAATACTATATTTTTTATAAATTTTTATGATTTTTATGATATAACAAAATGCGACGAAGTATTTTTAAAATATTTCTTAACTATTTATTACTGTGTTATTGTAAATAATTGTTATATCATTTTATTGAAACCAAAGTATTTATTGATAACAATTGTTTTCTATTTTTAAACGATAAATGAAGATATGCAATCAAATAAATTAGTTATATAATAATTATATATAATAATGAATACTACGTTACAAACTAATTAATAGTAATTTTTTTACAAATTTTTTTAGAAAAAGGGGAAAAAAATTTTCGAATGAACCTATTACAAAAAAAGATTGTTCTCATAACAATGGCGATAGCGTCGTAAACGAAATCGTATTTATTCGATTTCAATTGATATGACCTGCTTACCAGAACTAGTTACAATGAAAAAAGCCGAGAAACTAGAGGAAACATCGAATACCGTGGAGAAACGTTACCGTATGAGTAATCGTTACGCACAGCACGTCGACAGTTTTATCAGGAAAACAGATCTACCGTGTCTCGATTGAGAAGTCTCTAAAGAGAAGTCTAGACTGAGAGACGAAAGAATAAGCGGGGAATAAGGGTATATTCCTAAAATCAGCGTTGAAAAGGAGCAAAGGAAGAATCATGTTGTGAATGGAAGACTCGACAAGTCCTTTCAAGACGAAGAAACACTCGAGCCGTTTCGCTTCAGTAACCGCGGTCTTGGTTCAGCTCCTCCCGGATTCCTTTGTTTAATGCCTTATTGCGATATTTTAACACGGTTCCGCTGTTGCCATGCGGCTCCACGCTTACCCTGCTCGTCGTGTGTCGCCACAGTCGACCAAGAATCATCTTGTTCTATACACACACTGCAGTTATGCAATCGAGATGTTTTTTCTTTGGGATTACCTCTCCTTTTTAGGAGGAGAGTCTTTCAGATACTATGTTTGTGTTCCAAAAAAGAAAAATTTCGATATCGTTGAAAAAAAAAATTATCTCGTAAAAAAGAAGAAAAAGATATTTTGAATTGTTTTCATCACTATTTTATCCAAACCATAATCTATATTAAATGGATTGAAATTTTTAATTCACGCTATAAAAAAAAATTCATCGAAATGATTGATTTTAGAAGAAAAATCAAATCGAGTTATAGTGAGTATAATATGATAATTTTATGGATTTTAATAATAATTTTTTTTTATAATATATATTTTTCATACTATCTTATTTTGTATTTTCAACTGCAAGATATCTTAATCACAAGATTTACGGAACAAACGCAACAGAGTGTTAAAATTGTATTGTCGATTTACTTCCACAGGAAGGAGATTTAATAACACTGTTAACAATATAAGTGAGGCTAGGAGTAAAGTTGAAGAAGAAAGAGGCTTCTCCAAGCAGCGCAAATAATAGTTTGCAAGAAGCGCGGATATCCGGCGGATGCTCGTATGCGTAAATGTTCTATGGCTTGCGTTAGACGTTAGAAATAAACTGCGTACTTTTTTAACATTCGTACTTTGCAAAAATAAATTTTATAACGCGTAAAATAACATTTTTGAAGAATATTTATTTAATATATTCTCTTATTGAGTGATAGAAAAATAGATTAAAATTTAAGAAAACTTTTTATTTTTATTTTTAAATTATGAGCTAACCTAAAAATAGTCATTGATCTTCGGCAAGTTTAAGCATTGTTTATATTATTCCATCTAATCTATAAATAATACATATCTAATAAAAAGTACAACGAATCAGAAAAAAGAAGAAATCTTGTAAGATAATTTATATCAAAATTATCATCACGTGACAGGTTAATTCAATTTCGCCATTTAATAGGTTAACCATGTAACCTTACTACAAAGTCTAGCATCGGTAAAATAACGAACGGTTGAACCCAGCTGTGAATCCTTATGAAATAGCTGACAGGTTTTGTCGTGGATGTTTTAATATCATCCGCGTAATGAAAACAAGTAAAAACAGGATCCGAGTGACACCGGCGTCTAAAGTGCAGCTGCAAGTGGATGAGCGTGCAGTGAATTCCGAGTGCGTCTAATTAAAAGTCATCTGCATATTTATGGAAGGGGAGGCGGGGAGAAAGGGCTGGCAGGATTAACAGTTGAAGGCAGAGAAGGAAGAGGAGGAGGAAGATGGTGACGTTGCTGTTGGTATATTAAAAATAAAGGGCGTAACAAAGAAGCGGAAGAAACGTCTCTGGTTAAAGTGGCCGTGTTTACTACTTTTTATATCTCATTATGAGTCGGTGTTCTTCCTACATGGAATTTTTACCCCGCATAACTTGCAAACGACCAAAGTGATTACGCGTACCTGGTAAGTTGGTAACGTGATGACGTTTTTTTCAGAAGATGGATGAATAAGAAGGGATGCGGATATATTCTTTCGGTAGAAAGCCATGATAGAATTGCTAAATTGAAAGCATTTGCATAACAAGATACACGTAAACGTTCCGAGGATGACGTTAATATTTCAACGCCTTTTACGTGATAATAGTGGCGCTTACACTTGTCCGTTTGATTATTTGTCATTGTCGAGGATACTATTCTATGTAAATTGTGTAGTTTGTTGTTGGTTAACAAACTCTCGACCGGAGATTGAGAATTTTTTGTTTAACGTTTGACATTGTTCCTAGATGCACGATCGATTGATTTTTGAAGATTTATAAATCTATAGAATTCTTTTTTTTATTTTATGAAGAATAAATTTAAATTCTAGAATTCTGAGAGTATATAGATTTTTCTATCAGGTATTTATAAAATTTTTTTGCCAATATTTTTTTAACTTTTTCTTGGCATTTAATAATAATAATTGTGATAAAACTATTTTAATGAAAAATATTTTAATCTATAAAAAAATTGCTGAAATAAATTTTTGATTAACTTTTTCATTGAAATAGTACTCTTTATTCGTAGAATCGAAAAGAATTCCATTAAAGAATGCCGGCAGCGATAATTGCACGGTTCGTGACCAAGAAGTATATTTTCACAGACGACTGTACCGGAGTTTTGCGGAGAAAGAGATTTCCGGGCTCCTTTCAATGAACGGCCAACATTCTCATGGTGAGAAAATATATTTCACACGACGATGATCATTCTCGCATTTCTCTTCCTTTCTTACCAAATTTCCAAAAATTTATTTTTTATTTAAATCCAGAAAATTCGATGAATAATGAATTACATTGAAATCGAAAAAAAATTATTCTTCTACGTTTACTCGTTTAATTTTAATTCTAAAAAACGAAATATTTTTTATTAACACACTTTTAGAAATTTCATGTTAGATATTCTATATATTTATGCATCTCAAAAGAGCATTATAATTTTCATATATAATTTTGAAAATTATAAATGAAATTTCTTTAATATTTGAAAATATCTAAAAAATATAGAAATACAATTTGTTTATTTTATAAACAGAGGCCGGTATGATATACAGGTGGCAAAGGACGACAACCACCTTGATGATTAATTCGCATCACGTGTATACAAGCGCATAATTGCATGCCCTTTGCACCATGGTTGAATACGAAACAGAAAGAAACATTGTTTGCGAACTGTCATCGATATTAATTACAAAATCAACGTCTTTCAACAGGAAGAAAAGCCGAGAATACTTATGATCGCATTTAACTTTAAGGATTCGAAAAAACAACTAAGTAAAATATTTTTATAACAGTATTATGGTAATAATAAATTTATTATCGATCTTATCTCTTGATCATAAAATTCTATTGACGAAGTAATAATGTTTATTTGTAAATTTTAATAATTAATATAACTATTAGAGAACAGAATCTATCGAAATGATTTTTATTAATAATTAAACATTCATGACAATAATATAAAAAATTGTTAAAAAAAAAAATTAATATTCAATGTACGAAATCTAGTTATTCTTAACGTTTATACATTTTCATGATTTATAAAAAAAATTATTAATTTCACTTATATTTCATTATTGAATAGAAACTTTAATAAAAGGGCGTTATTCTTGACTTTCATAAATAAAAATAAAAATCTGTATTTTTCCCTTTACAATATATAAAAAAAATTCATTATTTTCACTAAACTTTCCATTATTTGAATAAAATAAAAAAATATTTATATATAATTTTTCACTACACTAGTCAAACTTACCAACACAATAGTAACCGGTCGCCACTGATCTACACGATTATTCTCCTCTTCCTCTCCTCTCAGAACACTATAGATCACTATGCGAGACACTGAATTCGATCAACTGTTTCTTATTTCTCGAACAACTTATATCAAGGATCGCTAAAGTCACGAGAGTCGACGAGAATCTAAAGAAACAAACTCTATCCCCAACCTACTTGCGTGAAAACTTCGAGACATAGAAAAAGTATCGCCGCGGGTTCTTTAAACCGATTATTACTATCGACTAGGGAATTTTTCGTTCGCGAGATTGCAACGAGGAAGGCGGAGAGTCAACCGGAATATTCACCGGAAGGAAAAGAAAATGTGCTACCGACAGGTGAGAATCGTCGGTGTGCCTTCTGTCAGACAACTTCACAAACGAATGACGAACGAGCGAATGGTCGGAGGATCCGTAGGCATCGACTCTTTTGCCCGAGGACGAAGGAAGAGGTAGTCACGGCGCAGGTTAAAGCCCCGCCAGTACGAGAGAACGAATAGAAATGTTTTCGAGAAATTTTTTAAATCTTGTTTTTATTGCGACAGTTTAATTTTTCGGTGATTTTTTTTTTATGATAATTTATAATTTACATCGGGCAATAGATTGTGATTTATTTTAGAATTATAAAAAAAATTGTAAATTTGTTACAAAATACAAAAAGTTAATTTTTTAAGATAAAAATTTTTATTTGAGCAAATAAAAAGAATTTTGAAATATTTTTTTTAGTTATTTTAAAATTTTTCTATTGAATTATTATTTGATATAAATTTGTTTACTTGCAGTTAAATTTTTTCATTATTAAATAAATTTCATTGCTTTTGAAAATTATTTATTAATTTTTCTTTTCAATTAATCGATTAAGAAAATTTTAATGTGAAGTTAATCCGATATATCTATATATAATTTAATTTGTATCTTTTGTAAATTTAATCAAGAATTTTTAATTTTTGTGTTTTCTTTTTTTAAATAAACAGTATAAATAAAATAATTCGTTCAACTCGTTCAACATGTACAGATATTATATTAAATTTATTTTATACCATGTACAGATATTATATTGAATTTACTTTATATCAAGCCACATGCCATATCAATTTTAATCATGTTAAAGTAAATTTAGCAATCAGTGTAAATTTTATTTCAATAAAAAGAGGGAGAAATATATAAATCTGACAATATTTCTCTTTCTAGAGTTTCTACCCTACTACGAGAGAGCTTTATGTGCCACCGTACTCTTCCTACTAGGATGCACTCGACAGCCATGCTGGTTCAGACATTTCCATCTTTTTCCCACTCCAGGCCATGCAACCCGGCTTTCAATTTTATTCGTTCCTCAATCATACACCGTGCTTCGTCCAGGGATGCTGCAATGCGGCTCTCCTGCCTTTGCATCGATTGCACCAACGGTTACCTTTTTTATTTTTTCAACCAAATAACTGTAGACCCAATCCATATATTTCTTGACTGTTTCTTTATTACTTTGGGTAAAAAAGAATGTTCTAAAATCTTCTATTTTTATATATCGAGAAATCTATGTGTAATTAAAGATTTTTCTAGAAACATTATTCTATTGAATTAATGTTTTTAAAAATTTAATAATATATCGTGTGAAAACTTAGATTTTATTTTATTAAACTTGGATTATAATCGATATTCTTGAAATATTCGTTTTTTTGATAATTTATATCTTACGATATCTTTTTATAAATTGCAATTAATGGAAATTTAATGATAATGCGTGATTTTTAAAGATTTTAAATATGTAACCTTGTAAGAAAAGAGAATATTAAGATTTAATTAATTTTGATATTTTTCAAGCACAAAATGATCGATCAAAATTGTTTTTAACAACATAAACTTTCACGCACATATTAAAGATTACGCTTTCATTAATTGATTAACACGCATACTAACATACTACGTATCACGATTTTATCTATCTAATGGATCTTAGAAAATGCGAAATAACCAGAAGTAAGTGTTCCATGTCTGGTCAAAATTCTTCACTGTGTTCGTCAGCTCAAGCATACGTAATTGCATTTAAAGTGCCATCTGGCGATGTTCAATTTGCATTTGAATATTCATACAATTTTCATATATATTAAAAAATCTTTAAAATCTTTAATGAAATGAAATAAAAACTAAAAGTTACATTTTAATTAAATTTTTTTTGTAACAATTCTCTAAAATATGTCATAACAAAGAATAACGTTTCAAATATTTAAGTTGATATGATAAATTTTGAAAGAAATATTGTTAAAAATTTTTTCTATTCATATTTAATGAATGTAACAATTATGATAATGATGTTTACCAGTTAGAAATTTAAGACTTTCACGATCTAGCATCACAGAGTTATTATTAAGGTATTTTAGGTGTCTTAATCGTGCTCTTTTAAAACAAAAATTCCGATTATTGCGAACATTACAATTCACTCCATCAAAGATCGAAGGATACACTGAGAAGTTCAACAGTTTGTGGTAGAACAGTAGACAGTCGGGACCAACGTTCGGGTAACATCGGACAAGATCGGGTAACAATGTAGTAGGCCCAATAGGGCTTAAAGTTTCAAGCCCCCACTCCGTTAATTTCGCTGTCTGCAGTTTTGCCCTCAGCACTGTTCAACCGCGCAATCGCGAGCATTCGTGATTAAAAAGTTATTCAACTTTGAATTTCTATTTCCTTTTCTATTTTTTTATACGATTTTATAAGTATTTATGACAAATAATACGAAAACTCGACACTTATACTTTTACGGCTATTCTCATTCCCATCATTTTTTTCTTTGCCAAAAGAAGAAGGATAACTTCATCATTTAACCTCAATTTCAATTAAACATGCGTATAACTCGAATTTATTATTACTTTTACGAGTGTTCCCTATGAATTTATTTCGTATAAAAATAAGAAAGTCTTTTTATTATACAAGTTCTTTAAACTATATTTCAATTTTTTAAATTTTCAGGATTTAAGTTTTCCTTGCAAACGTTGATCACGATTGATCTAACTTCATCTATAGCTGCAACGCTGTTAAATATTCGACAACGATGTGCCATACGCCACGTGCCCGCAACACGCTCTTGCAATTAGGCCTAGGAATCGCTATTGTGCCGGAGCTTGACCCTTTCAAATAGAATCTCGACAATGGGAATTCGAGCAATTTACCAAGAGGAACTGGACCAATTGTGCCGCGATCATGGAATTGAACAAACTTTGCCAATAAGATTCTCCAAATTGACGTTCAATTCCATTTCGCTTTGTTAATGAAGTTAAACGAACGTCCGTTTTATTCCGTTTCGTTGTTGAATCCTTGCGGACGATCGATCATGCCCGATGCTTACGAATTAATCGGAGGAGAGTTGTTTAATATGCATCAAGCGTTTAATGAAGTAAACAAGGAGGTATAAATGTAAGAGAAATAAAAATGATACAATTTTTTAATCGTATCATATTTTGCATGTGCTATGAATAATTTAGAGAATTTAGAGAGGCAATTAATGTAACATTTTAATTTACGATTTTATCAATATTTATGAATTAGGATTGACTATTTTAATGTACATAAGTTGCTTGTTAATAAAATAAACAAGATAATATGAAAAATGATCAGGAAGATGGATATTAAAGAAGAGACTTATCAAAAAGGTACTCGAAAAAGTTATTAAATAAGATAAAAATTTATCCTTTAAAATAATAAATATCGAATCATTATAATAAAATATCCTTTTTTTATCTAAATAATTATCTTCTAATTTTTTTTTTTTTATAATTTAAATAATCTACATACAATTGAATTGCTTATTATCTGGTGTTTTCACCTCAGACTACTTTCATTTAGTAAAAATAATCATTTCAAAAAAGTATATAAGATTATACATATTAATGATATACTCTATATTGATATTTTAAGAAAAGCGATGGGAAATCTTACATCTCTGAAGAAATTTCGTGTAGCAAATCAAATTTGTGAAATTTTTCTTTGGAAAGAAAGAACATTCACGAAATAAGTGGCAAGCAATTTATTCCGATCTCCGTCCCTGGAGCAACAAGAAGCAGAGCATGACAGCGCCACGAAGAAAGACTGGACACAGTTTGTTGGCATCATGTTATAAAGAGTACGAGTCATTACGAGATTCGTCTTTTCCAGTGCGAAATTTTTTACGAGACGGTATTCACCTTACTTTCTCGAATGATCAGATACACATCTTTTATCTATTGTTCGATAACCATAAGGAATATCGGGGTCTCAAAATAGAAGCAGATAGAAAAATTGTTTAATGTAATCAACGATTTAATTACTGTCCGCCATAATGGTAAGATAAAATGCAAAAAAAATTCAAACATCATTTTGACAACGATTAAAAAATACTTCTTGCGTTTTATACTAGATTTCAATTTTTTTTTTTTTAAATATTTCTAATATAACTTTGGAAAAAAACAAAAATGATAAATCATTTTTAGATTAAAATTTATATTAATAAAATTTAATTTCCAATAATTACTATTATTTATTATTGGAAATTATGAGAAATAATAAATAATTTTTTTAATAATAATCAAATTATATACCAATGAAATATATTATTATTGTAAATAATAATTGTTAAAATTTTTCTAGACAAATGATATTAGAAACACGATATACATGTGTTGATTCTATGACGAAAGATTGTTTAGGAATAGAAACTGCGTATCCTCCATAAAACAGTTTCACATTTAGTCCGACCTGAATATTCGAGAATTTCAAGAAGAATTCATGCTTCTTAGAACAAGAAGTAAGAGTAAACACATCGAACAACATTCTCTCCGATTTATTATTAACATAACTTTCAAATAAACAATAAAAGCGTGACTTTTATGCAAACAAAATATTCGAACATTGAAAAAAATTCTCCATACAACTAAAATCATTTATGATTTGCTATAAATTCATTACGTAATTAATTTAACTTTCATTCATTACATTACCATAATACGTGTCATTAAAGATTAATTAATAACTGATTGTGAAACCAATGAAAGACATTATTGAATGGAACTCAACTCATTCAGATAAATATACAACGATAAGAGGCATAAAAAGATTAAAGAACGTTTTATATTATTGCATTGTAATAAACAACTATATATATATATATATATATATATATATATATATATCTAT